TCAAACATCATGTTATTTTAGTTGCAACTTTACGATATATATTTGAATTAAATTAATATCCATAAGCCTAGCTATTTGGTACAACTGATCGCTATTGTCAGATATTTGTTTCGTATGAACAATTTGACCAATCACTGTCGATGCTCCTGCGATCACAAAAACTTTATTTTGACATACAACCAATATGTATTTTAACAAGTCAAAATATGGCATTTATGATATATATATATATACTCAACAACAAAAGTTCCTGTGACACCAATATATTAGTGTAAGTTTGGTTTTCAATATTGTAGTACATGTATGGAATCAAGTCACAAAAACGCAACTGCTACATAAAAGCATGCATTCCATGCAAAAGTTGACTTTTATGCAAGCCCCTTGCATTTCACTACCCACGAATGGGTATACAAACATGTGCGTTTGGTGTTTATGGCAACGTTGGCAACAGACGAATGCAGTCAGAGACCATCCTTGGAGTGGCAGGCCACTCATAACCAATAATCGACAAGACAACTGGATTCGAACAACACACCTACGAAATCGATTTCAGCCAGCAACAGTGACTGCAAGAATCATCCCTGGCCTTCGACAAATATCTTCACAAACCATACGTCGCCGCCTCAGATGTGCAGGGATTGTCGCCAGAAGACCTGCCAGACGTCCCATTTTGACAGGAAACCACAAAACAAGCACGTCTACAATGGTGCAGACAGCATCTACTCTGGACGGCCATGCAGTGGGGACAAATTCTATTCACTGACGAGTCTCGTTTTCACCTCAGCCACAGCGATGGACTGATTCGAGTGTACCCACATTGAGGTGAAAGTTACGACAATCATTGTGTCATGGAAGAAGATCGGTTCAGGGGCGGCAGCGTTATGGTATGGGGTGGGATAATCACAAGACAGAGGTCCCGTTTGATAGTGGTAGAGGGAAATCTCAATGCACAGCACTACCGTGACAAAATCATCGATTCTGTTGTTCTACCGTTTCGTGTCGTCATGGCCCAGGCATTACCTTTCAACATGACAACGCCCGGCCTCATATTGCTCGACTTGTTCAGGATTCTCTTCAACAAAACAACGTGAATGTCATCCTCTGGCTGGCTCGCTCCCCTGATCTCTCACCAATCGAGCACATGTGGGATGAGATGGATCGGCGCCTTCGACGTCAACCACGTGTTCTATAGACACTCCAGGAACTTCAAAACATGCTCTAGCAGATATCCCACAGGACTTAGTGCAACGCCTGGTCTATTCCATGAGATGAAGATGTGTTGCTTGCATCGCAACCAGGGGTGGACACACACGCTATTGATTTGTAAATTGACATTTTGGCATGTTCATGTTTTTTTATGAAATCAAGGATTTTCTGAAGTCAGTATGGAAAATTAAACCATTTGAACACTTGCAGGAGTCTTTTATCAGTTGCAAACCGAAATTGTTTCAGATTTGGTAAAAAACATAACTTTGCATTAAATCTTATTCAATGTCACAGGAACTTTTGTTGATTCAGTATATATATTCTCTGTCCACTAAGGTTTGTTTCAAGGTGACAATAGCGGTAATTTGACCATGGTTTTCTGTAAATAACGTTGAGTTATGCGATCAACCGACCACATCACACATTTTTTTGCCAAAATGAATGTAAAAATATTGAATTGAATTTTGAATAAAATTTATAAAATTGGTTACAAACCGGATATACAATGAACACCAGACAGTGTAATTACGTGATTAATTTGCATAATTCAGTACAGACTTCTTTTGTTGACATGGTATTTCCGGTGTTACATGCACACGGTAATGTCTTTGTGTTGGGGGGGGGGGAGAGAAAGAAATCAAACTCAACTATAGGTAAGAAAAACTTGCCTGCTACAAGGTGACATATGGTAGTACGGTTTTGAAGATCTACAAGCACTACTGCCATTTTCAATCAATGTCAAGGTTATTGCCATGGAAACTAAAAAAATAATATTTTCAATTTTGCATCATGTTGCACGAGATTACTAATTCAACTATTAAGTTAAAGCACCATCCTGTAAGTAAGATAGTGAATGAAGGTATGTTTAAGTTCCATTTCTATCATGTATATATTTTATTATTACATAAAATATCAGATAAATGATACTTTAATGTTGTAACGTCACACGTTAAGTGTGCTGCCAAAAGCATTCATTGTTACATCTAATTGTAATACCTAAGTATCAGCGTTCTAATATTGCATTTAACTATTCTATTCAAATTTACTGTGTTAAACTACTGTATTTAGGCAATATATTGCAATATCATTGTTATATATGCTAAATATTTGTATTTTCTAAGACTTTTTGTCATATGCCACAGCCGAGGAAAGTCTTTTTTGCTCCTTCGACTGAACATCAATTCATATTGATGCTATCTATATCTTTGACAGTCATAACATTGTTGGCCAGGACTCGCAACATAAATAATCTATCAATAGTGTCATGTTAAAAACGGTGACTTTATCATCAAGAAAAGTATACTCTATACAAATGCAATCTGGTGCAAATGATTCTGGGAGATGGGAGAAACTTAATTTTGCAGCATATTAAATGCCAATTATGATGCAAAGTTTCACTGTTTTGCTAGTACAGTACACCTGCAGAACCCACAGCTACAGTTATACAGCTACAGAACGAAGTAGAAAGACTAGAACAATATAGCAGAAAGAACAATGTTTTGTTATTTGGAGTTTCGGAAAACAGTGACGAAAACAAAACTGGTTGTAAAGATGTTGTTTGTGACATTCTAAACTCAGGTAATACAACAGATGACATCGTTGAGATACGTCCACATGACATTGCCGAAGCTCACAGACTTGGGCATCGTCCTTCACATTCAAAGCGGCCAAGGCCAATTATTATCAAATTCCTCACTATCGACTGGAAAATACGTTCCCTTAGTCGACGTAGTGACATCAAAAGTTCAGGGTATGGAATCGCCAGCGATCTCACACAGAGACAGCGGAATAAGCTACAAGAACTACGTGTACAAAACAACGAGGATACTTCAAGAATGGCGTACTTATTGTTACTGACTCCAACCAAGACGCAGCATATGCTGCATACCGTGGTGAGAGATCTGATGATGCTGAGCAAGGTGGTCATAACACGGCCAGTGCTGGCAAATAGGGGTGTGGTCCAGTCCAAGCAAATTCTCGTCGATGTCCAAAACAAGTATTATCTACTAAGCTTCTCTTCTGGAATATATCTGGTTAAGTAAATAAAGTTTCCGACGTAAACTTTATAAACTTTTTATCTAATGCAGATCTTGTTGGATTAATAGAGACATGGACAACTGACTTTCCTTATCACCAGATATTCCACAACTTTACAGCCTACAGCCTAAATGCAATTAAAACAGCAGACAGAGGACGATTCTCGGGAGGTTTAACCGTGATTGTGAAAAAATCCATCAGTGTCTATGTGAAATGGTCCAGAATTGCAGATAATGCTATATTTTTACTTTTCGATAAAAGTGCATTTAATCTTGAGAAAGACATTCTTATTTGCTGTGTATATGTCAACCCACCAGGATCAAGTTGGTTTAATAACAGACAAACTAAGTGTGGTTTGACTTTATTCTTCAACTCACTTATAGAAGTTATTGGGTCACTAAACAGAGATATACACATCCTCATAGGCGGGGATTTCAACGCCCGGACTGGGACACTGTCTGATCATATTGATGATGATATCGCCGAGGTTTTAGGTGACGAGAATATGTCAGTTATGTCCGATAGTATCAACATAGATAGAGTGTCATGTGATAACATTATAAACAATGCCGGAAAACATCTTGTCAATATGTGTGCCGCTCTCGATATGTCTATTCTAAATGGTCGCTGTGGTACGGATTTAGGTATAGGTGATTATACTTACATCGGTCACTCAGGCTCCAGTGTAATAGACTACATTATTATATCCAACAGTCTATTCTTCCACTGTTATACATTTGATATTGTGTCCAGGGCAGAATCCTCACACCTTCCACTATCTTGTTCATTTCAAGCACGTGACCTGGAGATTCCCGTTGTGACAGCAGGGGCCGCACGTGCGCCTCGTGAAAACTACCACTATGTGTGGGACATAGAGATTACTACACGAGTGTCTGTCAGATACCATTGATCTTACAACGAGTTGTTTCAAAACGTATCTAACAAGCATTACGTTGGAATGGATGGTAGCTACCGTGCTAATATGCTAGGGCTTCTTGTCAGCAGATGGCCCATGTTCAGCATCTAATATTTTTGGAGGTTACATTTTTGGCATTTATGCAGGTAATTCGGAAAAGTGAGCACAACAGGAACATTGGTTACAAGGCTTGCAATCACCACAACAATCACAGCAAAGTTCATGTGGGTCACAGCGAGAAGACGTGGCTACACTCCTTGCAAGCCTACGCTTAATCTCGTTTTTTCCCATGATGTGATGGTGAAGTATTAAAGATAGCTCACTTCCAAAATAAAAAAAATAAAATGAAATTTGTATTCTCTGCTATCAAAGCACGTCTCCACACAAAGGCAAAGCATAAGTGAATGAGGTGGCATATAGTGTGTCAGGTGATCAAACCGCCTGGGTCACCGTGTACAGGATTGTAGTTCGTGACCTATTTTTTTAAGGTGGTGGCAATGGTGATGAGGGGAGTGTTCGGGCGAATTGAGTCATAGGGGCTGGAAACTTTGTTTTAGGATGTTGCCACACAAGGTTCGAAAGAAGAAGGAAGAAATGCATATAGAATCAAATATAAAATTTCACAACATAGATAGCCATTTTTATACTTCACTTAGAACTGCCGAAGTCAGAGAAGTCAGATATGATTCTCTAAATGCTTTGCTAGCTGATAATGAGAAGATAAACGTCTCCGATTGGATTTGATGAGCTGAAAGTTCATTTGACGTGCCCTCCTATAAAGTATCAAAACAAAGGATCAGTTTTTAATGAAACGGCTATGTGAAATACTTGAACTACTTACCTATGTTGCTTGAAAGGACATCACTCTTTCCTGCAGCATATAGTGTCTGTAACATTGAAGTAAAGACTAAAAGAACAGAAATAAGCTTTTGAAAGGCGTTTAAAAGTTGGAAGAATACAAAGACATGGTATTTTTTGTGGATAACAACTTCCTTATTATTTGAAAGTAAGTTTAACGGCTACTTCTTCCAGCCTTCATCAATGAATAATCACTATTTTTAACAACTTTCTTCATACCAGTAATACTTGTCATGGTTCCGTTACCTTTTGATTCCTACTTACTGGCCAATCAGACTAACAATCAAACTTATGTTAAGTAACAGAATGCCAGCCTGAAAAAAATCACTTACATAAAATAAATCACCATATCCTTAAAATCATCAAAACAACAAGTTGAATCTGGTAATGTTTACCCACTAAAAATGGAGTATGATCCCCAGCTACAACCTGTTTGGCAGAAACGCCAGTCCAGGATGCCAGGCTCATTGCCAAAGCTTGAATTCGTGGGCAGTGCATGAACCGATAAGAGGAAGAGCATCCTGTGCTTGATGACAGTTTGCCGCAATGGTCGTCTTGAGCCAGCCGGCAACCATGGCTTTTTAATGTCTTTGTCAGAATGGGTCTTGCATGAGACAAAAATGTGTTTCCAAAGATGCTGATGAAGGTCAGATAGCTGTCAGATAGAATTTGAGTGCATGAATGGTAAAGAGGAAGGTCAACAGTAGGTGCCAACGTGGAAATGGTATACTGTCTATGACCCAAGGGACCAGTAGCAGTGGACGTTCTTAGCAACAAAGTCTGGTAGAGAGTGTAGGGAAGGCAGCTTTGCAAGACTTTTGGAGCAACATGGCATTGGCGAGAGAGAAGACTGAAATAGAGCAGGTCAAACCTGGGTTGGCAAAGAAGATCTTTGTAGAAGTAGAAGTAGAAGTAGAGAGGATTTTCCATCAGTAGATATAAGAGCCGGGACACCAGGTCCTGCTCGGAAAGCCAATTGAGATGAATCACTTTGTTGTGCAAATAGCTTCTCCAATGTGCTGATTGGACAACCATAAGCTGAGGAGTTGTCAGGATTGGTGTCGTGGTCTTGTGCGTCAATGCATCAGACAGGGACATGATGCCTTCAATGTTCTTCTTAGCTGCCTCCTTACACTTGGCTTTAGGGAAGGAGGTATCAAGTTTCAAGAAAGCTCTCTTGGAGTGTGCAAAACTTGCAATGGGACTCCACCGTACATAAGTTGTCTCTGCTCTTCCAGCAGAAATTGTGAGAGTCTGCAATGACCATATGAAATGACCACACTTTTGACATGTAGGGAAAGGGACAGACGACACCATAACTGGCGAAAACTCACTAGTGCCGTATATGACCACAGATAAGCTGAATTTTGAGGACCACAAAAAATGATTCTGTTGACAGGGTCAGCTTATGTATGGGTTACACTTTCATCAAACTCTTTTCTGTTGGTAAAAAAACTACATTGTATCGCTTCAGGTGAATGAACAACATTATAAAAAACTTTGTCAATGAAAATGAGAAATTTGCGATAAAACGTCACTAGACATGATGATTAACTAATTCAATTGCATTTCTTGTTATGCTAGGCATTGTTTTATATGGTAGGATAAAGATTTCCGTGTGTATTGTCAAGTAAACTAAGACGGAAATAGCAATCAGCTGTACACACATGTTCTCCAATCTATCGGATCTTATGTTAAAACATACCCAATAATATAATGGAAAATAATTTTGATGCAAATATCGGAAAAAATAGTATCTTAAAATATTATTTTACTATGAATATGTTCTTGTATCGTATTATTTTAGTTGCAGGTTTTACTATGTATCTTCAAAATAATGATAACCATAACCAGGGTTGTGCGATAGTATTTTAGTGTACTCTCGGGTACTTTTTTGCATGGAACAATTTGACAAATCACCGTTGTGATTTCACGCGATCTCGCTGTTTCCATCGCAGAAACAATATATTGACATTTAGTCGTCAAACTACAACAAATATTACTTTTAACGAGTCAAAGTATGGCAGTTATGACGTATGTATCCATTTTCTGTCCACTAAGGTTCGTTTCAAGGTGTCAATAGTGGTAATATGATCGGTGAGCTGGCAAAGCAGACCATGTGGAACGGGGCAAACAGATGTTGGTAGTACCGGATGGACACCGAAATATTTCTCCATATCGACAAAAATTTACCCCAAAAATACAACTTTTAATTGCTTTTATCTAAAACAGGAAGTTGTGATTTCATGTGATGGACAATATAGAATATCTTCATGAGAAAGGATTTCAATTCAAAACCTACAAAATCAACAAGTCGTCCGGGCATGAAACAATATCCCTCTCTGAAATTTAAAAGTATTTTAGTGTGTTGATGGAACATTTTCCCTATAAGTCAAGTAAGTAAAATTATGCTTCATGAGTTTACAAACCTGTTACATCTTCACCCACACGTACCAGGACGTGGTCAGTGAAGAGGACAGGGCTCGTTGTGTCAGTTCAACAGTGTTGACAGTGGTAAGTAATAAATCAGATCAAGTTCTCCACCCTTGATGTGTGAAGATCATTGTCTGCCTTGCACAAGATGAAGGTCAAATTTGTTCACCATCTGACAGAGTTGTGCATGATTATACATGTTAAAGTCTCCTGTCAGAACTGTTTTCCACATTCATGTTGAAAGTGAAGATATAGCTTCATCTCAAAGACGCACAAAGTTCCTGAGTGGGCCTGGAGGTCGGTATACGACAACAACCAATACAGATGTCTCTGAACCATAACTGCCATCAGTTCCAGAGATGTTGGACAATGCAACCATGTGCAACTCAGATCTCTCTTAACTAGCATTGCTACTCTGTGATCAGATGCCTTGTGAAGGAATGAATGAGAAGGGAGACGATCATATCAGTGTATTTCCTCATCTTAGAGATGGGTTTCTGTGAGGGATAGCACTGACATTGTACTGGTGAATTCTTCAGTCAGGAGGTGATTGTAAGGTGTATATAGAGTCCATGCACATTGAGATGTCCAATCAGAAGTGAATCTTGTGGAAAGCTCAGCAGGGAAGACTTCCAAGAGAACAAATCATCCTCTTTCAGTCACTCCATTTTCTTAAGAGCATACTTATTGACTTTTATCTTCTGTTGTCAAATCACCAACCATTGAACTGTATGTGCTGCCTTGTGACTTATTAACAGTAACAGCCCATGCAAGAACACCAGAATACTTTTTTCTTTCCACTACAGCAAACATTTTGTATTGGCAATGAAAAATGTGACTGTAACAGCCTGAATAGGAGTTGCTTCCTTCAGGATTTGCTAATCTTCTAGCTTGCAATTCTTCATTAACATGGCCTGAATGAAATGTATCCCCTGGTTCTTGAGATATCGCGCTAACAAGGAATACAAAGTCCAAATCTTGAAATTCTTGTAAGGACATTGAAAATAATTGCAAAGTCACCACAAACGACTGGCATCTGGACATCCTCCAGTTACACCTTGGTGCCATGAAATGAACCAACTGGTTCTTGAGATATAGCGCCAACACTTTTGTTTTGACAGACAGATGATCGTAAATACTATGTTCTCCGCTTCACGCTATCACACTGCGAAGGACAATTAAACACTTTTTATTACAGAATTAACTTGTGTAATTCAATACAGATTTGTTGATATTCTGTTTATGATGACCGATCATGATGAGACGTAGTTTTAAGTTGGGGATCTGGCTTATCTACCACACATTACATTTTGATACAGATTTCATGGACAAGGTTAATATCTCGGCTTATATATATGAGATTGGCTTATCTACGGTCATATACAGTACCAACACCATCAAATGCTCACATAACAAGCTTCTTAATAATGAATAAAACTTATACAAAGTACTGATTATGATATTCGTTAAAACAGTGTAGCAACAAAGCCGAGAACTAGAGTAATCATAGGTGATGTCTCTAGCACACACAAGAAAGAAGTAGGCGGACTGCGAAGCCTAAAAAGCAGGCACCCAGTGACAGTAGAACTATATAAATTGTGGACAATAGGTATTACTAAGGTGCTTTGCGTTGCACCTCACAGATGCTGGTAAAAGGACAACTGACCCAGGGTAGGCTTAAAGCCGACAGGGACCATGTTCCAAGGAAAACAGACAGAACCAATGAACACACTCCTTACATCTCAGCTCTTTCAATCATGGCTTCCATATCGACAAGTATGCAAGGTCGCCCAAATCCCCTTAAACTAACTCACCCGCTGTATTTCTAAATACTTTAATTTACCCAACAAAATACCGAGCCGAGCCGAGCCGACCACAGAAGTGATTTTTTTTCTGCCTTGGCAAATGGAAGAGCTGTAGGCTATTGGTACTATTGCATGAACAACTAGTTGAGTGTAGTTGACAGTGAAGAGGGCTTCTGTTGAAAAGAAGAATTTCTACATGAAACTCATCATCTTGAATGTAATTCTATGTTCGACGGCGAGACTTTTTATGGTTTGGCTAATTGGTAGTGAGATAATTGATGTTATTAATAGGATACAAGTACTAGTAATAGCAAAGTTGTCAAACCTATAATTTTAACAAATACAGTGTTACAAACTAATGGTTCAGTACAGACAATATGTTCATTTATACGATGACCAAACTGTGTCCAAAAGAGACTTAACCAAATGATATTAGGCTATCATCTTTTTCTATCATCTATAAATTATTTTACAACATTGTAACATTCTTAACATTTGGAGAAATGTCAGAATTGAAACACGTACTTCAGAAATCTTTTTCATGACTGTTTCATATGCCTGTGTAATGGCTTCCTCTTCTGAAGCAACTATCTTGATGGCCCCAACTGTGTGTTCTGATGTTCTTGGGATCTTTTCTGGTATCACAGGGCTGTGGAACCCTGAAAAGTGCACATATTATAGTTTTTAAAAAAATAGAACAAAAACAAATACAATGTAGACACAGTTCAAATGGTGGAGATAAATAAGGTGTAATTCTAAGTCCAATTACATCCAATAATAAAAAAAACATGTATTAAACCCTTGATATGTTGCAATATTATTAAAATAACATTATGTTGTATTTAGCACTTTAAAATGTTTTGGTGCCCATGTTCAGTAGATTAATGAATTTTCAATGCAGACAGAAAACAGGTTACAAAGTAAGCTAAGGAGTAAGCAGAATACTGCAGTTTACTATAATTCATGATGCTAGGTCAATATAGGTCAAGATAAATTTGCCGAAACAAAACTCATACTTCATAAGATACAAAAACTGTTCTGCTTTTGCAACCACAAAAAGATGGGTATACAACACTTACAGCTCAGCCACCATGAACTGGCCTTTGGCAGGTCACTAAACTCCTGAAAAATTGATTCTGACTGAACTACCACTGTCATAGTACACAGACGGCCATCAAATTTCTTTGTGTCTTGGAGAAACCGGTTGAGTTGTGATGCAAAACCTCCTAAGCCTGTAAACATAAAACACAATAGCTGACCATGCATGTAACATCTTCTGAAAATTTCCCTTCATACTTTAAGCATTTTTTCTGATGGCCTTCAAAAGGTCTATCAGCATTTGTTTTACCCAGCTGTTATTCAATCATATATGAGTCATTTCAAGACTGAAATCTGTATGCATGTAATCATACTGGATAAAAAATAGTGCTACAGGACTGAAGCTCATGTGGATACATAGTCAAACTACAACAAATACTACTTTTATGAGTTAAGGCTTTGCATATAAGATATGTATGTAAATCCGACAACTAAAGTTTATTTAAAGCATCAACAGGTGTAATTAATGGTGAGTTGGTGCGATCTGATGATCACTTCACACACAATTTCGTTGATTAATAAAATAGATTACAAACATAAGTCCATATATACAATGAATATTTTTTATCAATCTTTTGTGTAACAACAGGATTAAATTCCATACAGATTTGTTTATAAGCTATTTCTGATGACATGATGATGTGTCTTTGTTGGGAAAATAAAGGAATTTATTGGACTCTTTAGCTACCCTGCAGTTTAACTGAATCAGTGGTATCATGAAGGGGTTATCGTGAGGGACGACAAAAGTCATCAAGAGATGACATATCCCCCTGCTATAGTGCAATTCGGAAATGGAGTTTGGCTACTTATGCCCCACTTTTGGTTCATTGCCATTGGATACGTTCAGTTTAGTGAAGGAAAATATAATGCTGTTCAGTTATTTTCAAAATCCAAAATCTTGAAAAGGAACAAGTTCCCTACTAGACTGATTTGCATAAGTTTCATTATATATATTCAACAGTTTGGAGTGCTGCTCCAGTAAACAAGCACTACCCTCATTTTCAGTACGTCCAACTTGTCATAATGAAAAAAAAACAAAAAAACAATTTAAATCCCAAAGCATCAAAGGGTACCAGTTCCCCACTAGACTGATCTATAAAAAAAAAATTAAAAAGAAGTATATAACAGTTTTGGAGTTCTATTTCGGAAACAGAAAAAATAACTTATTTTCATTGATATTATTTTTAAGCTGCAATGTACATTAAGAATGCTGTTACAAGAGCAAAGGAAAGATGGGTGGGAAATTGTTTTGAAAATAGCAGTAGAAAGATGGCGAAGTTAAAGTGTGTGTCATATATATGATGTCACTTGAAAACAATTAACAGGCGGAAGTGTTGGTTTGTTTGGTGTCATGGTGTTTGTTAAACCATATTCTAATGTATTTGATATGAATGCAAAGATTCGTAATGAAACAGTGAAGATATTCTAATGTTTGGTTCTGGAAAAGGAACCACATACACAACAGAGTCTAAGTCCAATTAAAGGTCTTTATAACAAATTAAAGGCATCAGTTCACTATCTGAGATGAACCAGAGAAACCATTTTGAGTTTTGCACTGGAAACAAACCACACCCCTGACTGAGTCTTGAGTAACTAAATGATTGATAAAAAAACAAATTTAAAAAAAAGCCCCACGTAGCAAAAGACACCAATTCACCACCTGATTGAAAATTATTCAAAAGTTTAATGAACAAACAATGAAGAGATTTTGAGTTCTGTTGTGAAAACAAACCATATGTCAAACTGTGTCGAAGTCCAACTTTATTACTCAAATCTGAAAAAAAATGCAAGGAAAAAAACTAAATATCACTGAGAAGATCAAGGCACCAGTTCCCCACCTGACTGATATATGTGCCAGATTTCATGAAGGAATTGTGTCTACCATGTTAATTTGGAAATGTGGAATCTAAGAATTCCTCCCGTAAAATATACATATTTTATCTTATCCTGACTCATATTTAGTGCTTGAACACCACAGTTGGTGGTGGGTGGTTCAGATCGTCAACTGTTCATTAACCCCTGGGAACATGATATTCGTCTTAATTTCTTCAGTCTATCAAACAGGGAGCCACCTCCTTCTTGTGTTTGTTTGTTTGTTTGATTGTCTGTTGTTTAACACCACACATAGCTATATTCTAGCTATAGGAAGGAGGTCTGTAAATAATTAAGTCTGGACCAGACAATCCAGTGATCAGCACTCTCCTTAATGATAAAGGAGATGCTATCCACACTAGGAGGTGTTATCAATACTATCAAGTATTGAACTGCGGCATGGTATCTCAGCGGGCTAGCACCATGAAATCGGTCTGTGGTGGGTTCTCGGAGAGTCACGACATGCGCATGAGTTGGAAGACAAGCATGCCACTTGACCATCTGTTTATTCAAGACTGTCCAAGTTACATAACAGCAGATTGTGCTTAACTGCAGCTAATCACAAACAGATGTCTGTTGGCCTATCACAATATTACACACAAGCTTACAACTACTATATTTCAATTAAGGATATTACAATCTGGACTAGTACAAGCAGCCATACACACACGCATGTGCATGCATGTTGCTAGATAAGTGCAATAATCTTGAATGTGACGAAACACCCCATATCACCTCACCTTTATTAAGAAAGATATTAAAACAATAGTTATCATTTAATAATTCTAAGAATACTGACCTCCCTAACAACATTGCCATAAATCCCGCATTTTGCCTGCATCACAACTATACGTGATTAGTTGTTTCAATAACAGCACTTTGGGATACAACTCTTCCATGTGCAAAGGCCGGAGAATCCTCATTTCTTTCCAAACATCACTCACTAGAGAAAGATGATTGGTGAGGTGGGAGGGAGTATATCTGATGTAATAGAGAGATAAAGTGTCTCTTCCAGCGGTGCGAATGAGGGCCCATTGCCGCTAAGTAGAAATATAAAGCATGGATAGGTCTGAATGGTCTGTTGCATGCCCTAGAGCTGGTATGATATAGTGTCAATGGTCTAATGGACCCATGGCTGTAGACTTGAGTTTTGGCCACAAAATGATTGAGAGCATGCTCTGTGATTGATTTCCAATCCTTCTCATGGGTAAGGCTTAAATAATCTAGAGCGTGTAATTTAGAAAGTCTGACTGCAGTCGCCATAGTTACGAGGAAAGCAGCTTTCTTTGTCTTGTGTTGGTGTGTAGCATTTGCAAAGTGATCAAACCGTTCAGTTAGAAGAGCAGAAAGAACCACCGATAAATTCCATTTTGGGACGATTCTAGGTGTGCTTATGTCTTCGAAAAGAAAAAACTGCAGGTGTCTATTCAACATGGGTTGGTTGCTGATAGATAATCCAGCATGTTGAAGGGCGGATCTATAGCTCTCCATTGCCCTACGATGGATCTTATTATCTTGTCTGAGATGTAGGAGAAAATCAGCAACCATTGTAATGTTGACTTGGGTATCATCTAAACCTGATTGTCTTCTCCACTGGACAAATTCTCCAATCTGTAGTCGTAAATAAGGGAGGATGAAGGTCTCCAGGTTCCATCAACAGCAAATGAGGCAGATTTAGATAATCCAGAGGTTTGATCCTTCTGCGAGATTATTTCCAGGCAGTTCGATGTAGACTGCGTAGAATGTTGTACTGAATATCCGACCTGGGTTGACGTAGAAGATCACTGCCATGTGGAAACCATGAACAGCTGTGATCCATTTGAAATCCTTCCGATGAAGTGTCCATTTTGTGCCTTTTCGAGATAGACTTTCTGCTAGGATGTTCAGTCTCCCTGGTATGTGTCTCACTTCAAGTTAAACAAGTCTTACAAAGCATCTAGCTGAGAGTTTCCATCATCAACAAATGGACTTGGATCCACCATGTTTCTGGATGTATGCCACCACTGTGGTGTTGTCAATGGCCACTAGAATTGATAAGGAGATCCTTCCAGGATTGAAGGGCATAGAAAATTACCTGACAATTGATGTGAAGGTCTCTCCCTGTCAAAGTTCATGAGCCTTGGATCTGGAGTTCATCCATGTGGGCTCCCCATCCTAAGTCTGAGGTGTCTGTGAACAAGTGATGGAATGGTGGAGTGTAGACGAGAGGAATGTCTGACATTATATGGTCTCGATGAGTCCACCAGAGTAAATCTTGACACAGGTATGTTGGAAGGGATCTAAGAGTGTCAAGAGACAGATCCCGTACATCGATGATCCAGGATTGAAGAAGGCGAAACTGCAGCCTGCACCTGTAGGTCATATCCTGTAGTTGGGTTAATTTGCCGATCAGGGAAATCGATCATCAGATCGAAAGACGTGGCTGAGATAGCGCCTTGTTGATCAGAAGGAGAAATATCAATCATCCGGAGGGCAGAGACATCCTGTGGTCAATATGAAGTGAGCTCATATGTAATGATGTCTTGGGTAGGAGTCAATTCTGATTTGGATTGATGATTGAGGAACCCCAGTTGAGTCACATGTCCGGTCAGGAATTCCCTGTCTTGCAGGAGCTGACATATGTCTTGACTGACTGAAAGTTGTCCAGATATCCATGGAGATGGACCAGATGGAGATGGGTGAAGCTGATGACTGGAGCCCTATCCTGGTGAATAACCTACTGGGCGATCATTGTTTCTGGACAGATTTGTATCAGGAGAAAATTGTTCAGGACCTTGAGATCTGTGATCATTCTAATTTCAGTCGAGTTCTTCCTGGGAACAAAGAACACCGGGGAATAGAAGCCGAAACTCACATCTGTCTCTAGGAGTTCCCGAATGACTTTCTTGTGTAATAGGGCCTTGATGGCTAGCTTAACTACGTCTAAGTTGGCTCCTTCCAGATGGAATCTATGACCGTAGGGAAGGGGTACAAGCTGAAGTCGAGTATGGAAGTGCAGCTCCCCACGTGCCAGCGAAGACCTCTTTCTGGGCCCATTGTGAGAAGTATAGGGAAATGTGGTAATCATAGATCCTTGGGTGATGCCAAGTCGAAAGGGTCTGTGATGGTAGTAGGCATGTGGGTAGAGTCAGCCTCCTGAATTGAATCCTTGTCAACTGGATACACGTCATTTGGGGTCAAACTGACAAAAGGTGTCAAGTTGTTGTGGGCGAGCAGGTCCACGAGAAGCTTGAGATGATTCCTTCCCTGAAGAGATAAACGT